AAATAAATAAACCACTAGCTAATTTGCTTTAAAAGAACAACCACCAAATTACCAGTATCAAAAATTAAAAAGAATTCATAACAAATGCAGATGAAATAAAGGATATTATTAGAAACTCTTTTGCTGAACAAAACAATTTAAATGAAGTGGATGAATAGTTACAAAAATATAAATACACATATCAACAGAATAAGAAACAGAAAATTCCTTCTATGATCTAAATATAGTCTTGCTATCTAATACAGGAAGCATCAAAGAAGAGAAAGAAAACTATAATCAATATCCCTAATGAATATTGATGTAACATTTTAAAATAAAATATTAGCAGAGGACACAACATCATGTGCACAGATTGGATCTATAACAAGAATGTAGTGATTGGAAAAATTATAGATGTAACTAAGCATATTAATAATAAGACCAATGCAAATCATATGATTGTGGCAAAAAATATAGAAAAAGCCTCCGACAAAAATATAATATCCATTTCCACTAAGAACATTAGAAAAATAGGAATAAATATGTGTTTCCTTAATGTGACAAATAGAATATATCTAAAAATCAAGAGCCAGCATTATATATAATAGGAACAAACTAGAGTTCTTTCCAATAATTCAGAACTGCAGCAAAGATATTCATTGTCACCATTTGTATTTGATAAAGTGCAAGAAATAACAGCTATAGCAAAAAGACAAGAAAAAACAATTAAGTATAGGTAAAGAGGAAACAAAATTATCACTTTTTACAGAAGATATAATGGTGTACTAGAAGAACCTGAGAATCTACTAAAAATTAACCAAAACAATTGATAATTTAATGAAAGTGGGAAGATATAAAATAAATTCACAAATTCACTGGCATTTCAGGATGTTAACAATATGTCCCTGATAGAAGAGACAGGAAAAGAAATGCTATTTAAAATACATAACATATAAAATACTTGGAATTATATGAATCCAATTGTAAAACATGGATCTGAATGCATTACAGAAGGTAAAATCAATAATTTTGATTACACAAAATCTAAAAGACTTTTTTTAAATCTAAATGCAGCTAATATTAAAAGGAAACAATGAACTAGGAAAAAAATCTTTGCAGCAAGTTTCTGTGATAAAAGTCTCATTTCCAAGATCTACAAGAAACTGATTCAAATTTATAAGACTAAGAAGCCATTCTCTAATTGATAAATGGTCAAAAGATATTACAATAAGATCTCAAAAAAAGAAATCTTAGCTATCTGTAGCTATATGAAAAAATGCTCCAAATTAATAAGAGAAATACACATTAAAGCAACCTTGTACCCATTATATTGGCAAAGTTGACAAAAAATGAAAATGTTGGAGGGGATATGAAAACATTGATACACTCTTCATAAAGCTGTGAATTGATTCCAGAGCCACTCTGGAAATCAATTTGGAATAATGTCCCAAACTTTCTAAAGTGTGCATGTCCTTTGACCCAGTATTACTACTAGTGATCTCCAGCCTCCTAAAGGAAGAAAGGAAGATCACTAGATCAGTCACTGGCTGAAGAGTTCTCTGGATTCCTTCAAATTCCACTTAACATCCTATTTTCTACAGGAAGCTTTTCCCAGTCTCTCTTAATGCTAGGCCCTTCCCTGTGTTGATTTTTTTTTCCTATTTAACCTATATATAGCTTGTTTGTACAGTTTGGTTAGTCATTCAGTCATGTCCTACTCTTTGTGACCTCATTTGGGGTTTCCTTGGCAAAGATAATGGAGTGGTTTGCCATTTCTTTTTCCTGTTCACTTTACAGATGACAAACAGGATTAAGTGACTTGCCCAGGGGTCACACAGCTAGTGAGTGCTTAAGACCAGATTTGAACTCACGAAGATGAGCCTTTCTGACTTCAGGGTCTGCACTCTATCCACTGCACCACCTAGCTGCCCCTTGTTGGCACACAGCTGGTTCCATGTTGTCTTCCTCATTAGATTGTGAGACATATTTGAGAGATGTCATAAAGGTAAAAAAGAAAAATTTTTAAATTTAAAGATTAGACATGAGGACAGTGAAGAGTCAAGGATGATGCAGGGGTTGTGAATCTGGGTGACTAGCAATACCAAAGCTGGGAAGAGGGGAAGGTTTGGGGAGAAAGATAATGAGTTCTATTTTGGACATATTGAATTTGAGGTATCTATAGTATGTCTAAATCAAGATATCCAAAAGGCTAATCTGGTGTTTCCAGATTAGAGCTCAGCATAGATACTAGGGCTAGATGTAAAGTACATAAACTTGGATTGGGGTGGGGGGTGGTGTTAACATCTTTTTTTCAAAATAATTAGCTTCCTTTGTAATCGTATGTATCTTAAGCATTAAAAACATTATTTTGAGAGGGGTCCACTGAAAAAGGAATTCATGACACAAAAAGGTTAAGAACTCTTGTTCTGGACTATCTTACTAAATGATCTCATCAGTTCCCATGGGTTCAATGATCACTTTTACATATTAGGGCTCGATTTATAGATCTTGGAATCAAAGCGTTCTTTTTGTGTTGTGAACTGCATTTCAAGTTGTTGTGGTCTATTGACTCTTTGTCAGAATAATGTTTTTAAATGCCCAAAATACCTAAGATTACAAAGGAAGATAACTTACTAGAATAAAGAGATAGATAGATAGATAGATAGATAGATAGATAGATAGATAGATACAGATAGATAGATAAATAGATAGATAGATAGATAGATAGATAGATAGATAGATAGATAGGTTTTTTTTCTCATCCAAGTTCATGGACCCTTTGATGTTGATCTTTCAAGTACCCCACAAGTCTATGACCCCTGGTCTAGAGGAGAATAGAAGAGAGGTCAGTACAGAATCTTGGAGGACACTCACAGTTAGTGAGTATGAGCTGAACGAAGATTTAGCAAAGGTGCCTGAGAACTGGCCAAAAATTAAAAAACCTAAAGAGCAGAGAACATCTAGGACAATGGGGAGAGCAGCAGTGTCAAAGACTACAGAGAGATCAGTAAGAATGAGAATTGAAAAAAATCCTTTAGATTTACAATTAAAAGATCTTTAGTAATTTCAGAAAGAGATATTTCAGCTGAATGATGAGGTCTAAAACTAGAGTGCTAATGGTTTATACTTGAGTGAGAAGAGAGGAAGTGAAGGCACCTAGTATAACCAGCTTTCTCAAGGAGTTTTAGATGACAAGGGGAAAAAGAGATAGAAAGCTAGATAGCTAGGAATTGCAAGCAAAGAGGAAGACTGTGACGTTGGCCCTGAACTAAATGAGACAGGAGGAAGAATTGGGGGGGAGAAGGCAGCAATAGATAACAACTATCTCAATCTGAATCGGGTGATACATCTGGATGGTACATTTTTTCAGACAATTTTTATATTTTTAGCTCAAGTTTTATAGCTCAAATAACAACACAAGGAAAGTGAGATGCTAATATATTTTATATAATACTAAGCAGTGGGGGAAGGAATAAACAGAAGAAATCAAAGAGGGAAAGGGGAATTGCTACAGGTGTACACTGGGTAGGAGCAGCCAGCTTCTTGGCTGTACAAACAAGTCCACATGGCCTCAAGATCGAGGGGACACGAACTTCCACACCTGAGTCACAGCTTCTTCTTTCTTCTACTGAATTCTCTGAGAACCAACCCAAGTACCATCCCTCTTCTCCATTGCTCTCCATCCACCCCCCCCCCAATAACCTCAGCAACCAGTGGACTCCTAGGAAAGCATCTCCCATTTCTATTTTTCATTCTGATGTAGGGTCAGATTTTGATGCTTCATACATATAATGATGTTATGAAGTTTTTTTTGTTTTTTACATATGTCTTTCCTTATAGTCAATAGCCTTCTTGAGATACAGTCCCAAAAATGAGTCAAGGGGTATGAACAATTTAGTGACTTTCCTTGAATAATTCCAAATTGTTTCCAAAAATGATTGAAACTTTGACAGTTCCAACAGTACACTTGTCTTCCCATACAACAATGATTTTTCCAATCTTTACTACTTTGACTATGAGACAATAAGTCAAGGGTATTTTAATTTATATTTGCCTGATTATTCATAATTTATAACTTTTTCAGGTAGTTAGTGTTTGTATTCTTTTGAAGAATAAATTTCTTCTTTTGTGCTTTGACCACTCATTTATTGAAGAATGGGTCTTAATTTAAATATGTATGAATTAACTAATGTGGTCACATGTTGTAACTTATTTTGAAACATGTGAAAATTATTACTTTTCTCCTAAATATATGATTTTTAAATATGACTAGAATGTTCAAGGAAATCCCTCAAGGTCTAGGCACAGAATGTAACTGACTGGTATCCTGGTAGGTAGTACTGCTATGTCCTAGGAGCATAGGCACAAGTGGGGGGTACCTTGTCTCAGTGTCCTGCCTTGTGGTAAACAGAAGTAGAAGTCAGAAATGTCATTAGGGGGCTTATGAAAGCTTAGAAAATCCAGGACGTGATTTAGCCATGGTCATGGTAGGTCTAACCAGGAAGTAGAAGATGGTAATTCTTGTTTGGGACTTATTCTCTGACAAGCATGAGCCTGGGCTGGTGGTTGTGTGCTCTAAGGGGTCCAGAAAATTAGTTATGAGGCAGGAACTATTATATCTGGAATTGGGGCCAGAAGTCCATCCAAGAACATGGATGAATCTGTGAAAACCAATCTCTACCACTAAGAATGCATATTCTACTAATGATGAGTCATGGTGTTTTTATACCATATTTCACACTCAGTGAAACAGAGAGCTGGCTTAATTATGGATACTAGTCAAAAATGAACAGAATAGAATCCTAGACATTCAAACCTGTGACATAGTAAGAAGTTATTCTGCCAACTTTGTCCAAATTGGACTCTTTTCTGATTTCATGTATTTCATGGTACACTCCAGACAAGTTGAATTATTCCTTTACCATGTTTACATATTTATGCAAGTTGTCCCTCAAAGGAAGTTATCCCTCATAGACTCCTTCCTCAGCTTTGAAATACTTCTCATATTTCAAGGCCATTTCCAACATGAAGATTTCTCTACCCACCACCCAGTCAAAAGTGATCTCTACCTCCTCGAATTTGTCTTTGAAATTTGTGTTGACCTCTCCTTTCTCATACATTGTATTCTATCTTCTATTATAATTATCTGTGTTCATGGCTTATTTCTCCTCCCCGCATTTTATTGTAAACTCCTCAAATGTAATGCCTTCCACATAACAGACACAATAAACATTTATTTAATTGAATAAAATGTACACTGCAACTTCAAAACAAAGAAATAAAGTTTAAAAAGTCTATTCAAAGAAACATATTAGCTTTGTAAAATGGAACTGTTGAAACTTTCATTGTAACTGTCATAACTATTTGCATCAAATATAAGAGCATCTCAAGTTCAGGAAAAAGACTTTCATTTCATTTCAGACGTATTCATAGGAACAGTACTATTTAGTACTCTACACCTGAGATGCTTTATCATAGTTACCCATTAAAGTCTGGTGAAATAATAATAAGTAATAATAACAAACTACTAATCTGCATTATATAAGGCATGTTTCCAAAAAGCTTGAGGCCCTTTGCAAAAAAGTTACCTCATTTTCACCATATCCCTGAGAAAAAGGTACATTCAGGCCTCCATTCCAAAAAAATGACAGAGAAAACTCAAAAACTCAAAGTTCAGGAGTTTCTTAACTATCTGGCTAGACCAGCCCCAAAAGCTGTCTCTAAAACTCTTTAGTGATTGGCACATAGTAGATGTTCAATGAAGGAATATTAACTTTGCAAAAACTTAACTCATGCATTAAGAATCCTGCAATGAATGTGCTTATACCCTAATATTTTTATCTAAGTTCCTTTAAGTGAGAAAATTTTAGAAATGCTATAGCTCATCTCATTCTACCTAAACATAACATGGGTAAACTGGCCAAAAGAAGCCATTCCTTGGAGCCTGCACAAGCAGGTGTTCTCTACTGGCTCCAGCTCACCACACAGAAACTTAAGTGGGGCATACTTCATATCATGTACGTTTGCACTATATGATTATAATCTCCTAAATTGGCCCCTGAGTCAGGAGAACCAATGACTTGGGACAGAAAAAAGCAAGCTACTTGGACCTTTGATTTCCTCTTTCTTTCTAGCTATGAAGTGTGAAGAGCACCTAGAGCTGCATCCTAAGAGCCAGGAGTCCTATCTCCCATCTAACCTCCTTGCAACCCCAAGCACAACACATTCTTTTGTATTTATTTCTTCCTCATCTTAGATGAAGGACTATCCCATGATGACTATGTCCAGGACTGGAACTTTATAAATTTCAAAAGATCCAAAGGTCTTGAGAAGGAAAAGGAGCTTCAGTGTCCCCAGAGCAGCAGTAGCTCACGGCAAAGGATGTGCCGAGGTGAAATTATCAGAAATGTGCAACTGCTTTAAGTTCTGGTGTGTCATAATATTGGCCTCCCAAATGAATATACCAATACTTCTTAGTTAAGTTACTAAATTCTGTCTAATCATTCTGTTAATGCATGCATTAATTTACTTTCATGCTTAGCATTCTTAACTGTGTAGAAAAAAACTATCTGCCCCATCCCTGAATGAAAAGATCCAAATACAACTCAAGACTTTCACTAAAATTAGTATCATCACCTAGATGACAGGGTGGAAGCTTTTAGCAAGCAATTGAGTGTGGCAATGGGGATTCTGACCCTCTTACTTAGAGGAAGGCTCCACCACTAAACAGGTTCACATAGCTGGATACAGGGAAGGATGAGTACCTGAGCCCTTGTATTCCCAACAGTGGTTCTTTGGTGCTAAATGAACAATCAATGATATATAGAATTGAATTTCCATGGCAGAATGGCTCAGAGACAAACTCAAGCTATAATGAGAGTCAGTATTGCAGCGGAGTGGTCTACATACTCAGTATTTTATCATTTGGGGCTTTAAATATAAGATCCAAATAAGGGCTAGCTCCAATTTAAAACTGGATGTTGTCTAGAGCTGAAATGAAATATAATGATTCATCTCAATGAAGCACCAATTACTAAGCAGAGAACAGCAGGCTTCTTTGCTCGTTTAGACAGGTCTTAATGAAGCCAGGGAGTTGGGGACATATGTATTGGTGATGTCTTTGTTAATTAGATATAGCATAAACATCAAAGGATGCTAGGATGGGCTGGAGGTAGGGAGAATGAGCTGTTACTTGCTTATTTTCATTTTGAGGGGGCTCAAAATTGGAATGAATAAATCATTTCAGGATTACAATTTAGGTTTTTAAATTTCAGTCTTGTGTTCAGAACACTGAGGAACATGGCTCTGTCCTCCTCTCCCTCCCTAATGCTGATAGGTTGTGATTCTCACCAATGCTATTCAAAAATGTGCTTCTCCTTCTAAAGTGTCACTGCAGAGTGTCTAATATTTGTCCTGGAGTGTCACTATTATCATTTCAAACAGCTGGACACTTTTTATTTAAGGACCTCTCCAAAGCTGTCCAGTATACCAGCAGATTTTTTGGCTTGACAAAATGGCAGGTCACAATTTTCTTAAAGCGACAGGCAGAAAACTTAAGCCCATTTGGGAAAAATGTCTGTTCTGAGTGTAGTTCTTCTGGTTCAATTTTTAGTTCTGCAAGGCAGAGTCCCATGAAAACATCCTCCAGTTTAATAAATGGAACTTTTTCTGCAACGTTATAAACCTCACTTGCAATGTCACTAGAAAAAACATAACCCGTTCCAGAACAAAAAGGTGGATATTTTTCCCCTGGATATTCATGGTAACTTACATACCACTTATTAAATATTTTTCTAATTGGAAATTCATTCATCTTTAAAAAACCAGTAAAAAACCTAGTTGTTCTGTTTTTCCTTATAAGGAGTTCAGTTAGATAGTAGACATTTACAAACATGTCAGAATCAGTCTTCATCACAAAGTCAGATTGAGGGCAAAAATGGTGAACCCATTCTATGCCCATCATTGTTTTAAGAGTCAAATTAAAATACACATCTAAAAAGTCTTTCTGGATAACATCTCTGTATTTCTGGCTTTCTTGTGTCACCACATCATCATCCTTTGAATTTGTGATTCCTAGCAGAAAGTATGTTAATATACGTTTACCTTGTACAATTCTTTCTCTTCCCCAGGTCTCACGGATCACCATCCGTGCTTCAATCTGATTGTGGGATGAAGTCACCATCACAACCAAAAATGGAGGATTCTTTCTGCAGTCTATATCTGGGAGCTGAATAAAGTTCCCACCATATTTCTTGACAACTATTGGGCCTTCTTTTCTTATGCAAAAAACGCAGATTTCTGTTGAACTCATCTTAGATATGATCAAACATAAGCAAGAAACCACAAGAATAATAATGAAAACATGTACCATCTTAATCTTCTGGTAAACCATCTGAAAGAAATAAAATCAAATTAATAGACCCCAAAATTACCTCTTTTGGTACAATAATAATAACAGTTGACATTTATGCAAATATGGTGCACTGGAAAAAAAAAACTGGATGCAGAGACATAATGAGCCTGAATTTAATCCTGCCTCTGATACTTAATAGTGTTATGAGAAGAAAATGGTGAGGCTTGAGGAAGGAATCTCAATTCTCCAGGTTATCAGGAAGAATGAAGCTGTCTTTCTAAGTGGAAAAAGTGCATTATCATTATCATCGTAGCCAGCATTTACTGTATATAGTGCTAAGAAAATCAAATTGATTTCATTTCTTAATCAATTCCATTTTTGTAATTAATTCTATTTATAGGTGATTTTATTCTGTACTTTATATAACTACTTAAGTCCCTTTCTTTTTCTCTGAGTTAAGTATTTCATATAGGTTCAGAAGTTCAGCCTTTTCTCTGAGCTAAATTGTCCCATAAATCACCCTTATTTAAAAATATATTATCTCTACACATCTTATTGTCCATGCACAATTAGGGGAGCCCTGTTATTTTACTAATGATCCTTGAATAGCCATGTACAATTAAGGGAAATCTGTTATCTTGCTAACTAACTAGCCTTACAAGATGCTGGTGGGCACTAGGAAATCTGTTATCTCTGTTCCACTAATAAACCCTGCAGGATGCATATGGGCTCCATAAATCAATTGGCATTCCTTAACAACAAAGAGGGGTTGCTACTTAGCCCCACTTTCCTGATTTCCAGTCAATTATTTTGTCTCCTACATTTATGATACCACCAATTCTATTGATTTTTTCAGCTTTGTAACCAATCATAACTTGTTTCCCACCTATGAAGTCCTATTCTTTGTTCTATGTTTCCCAGAAAAACCATAAATAAGGCTAGCTTGCCTTACTGGTCTTAGCTTTTCTGAGGAAGCTAAGATCCTATTTATTGGTAAATTCATGCTTCACTAATCTTTGCATCACTATTACTGATTGAAGATATGAGGTTCATATGTAAAATGCCAATACTGAAAGGATTATGTGGCTAAGATATCTGAGAATGAGATTTGGATTTCTGGACCAGGGCTTGAAATATAATTGTAATTGCTTTTTGGAAAGGAGAACAACTTCTGCTTTCCTGTGAAGATTCTAGAAAAATAATTTGAGATCTCAACAGACTGCTCATGTAATATGAATTCCAACTTAAGACATGACAAGTTCACAGAGCCTAAACATAGAGAGTGCTAGGAGCAGCATAGGGAGAAAGAGAGAAAGCGCTAAGAGATGGAGGGGAAGCAGAACTGAGGTGTGGCATTGAATGGGAACATAAAGAGCTCAGGCTCCCCTAGAATCCACCACAGGCAGATGGAACAACATCTGACCTATAAAAACCCTCTCTGACTTGCAAACAGTATTCCTTTCTCCCCCAGACCTTATGCCTCCCTCCTAGGCCAGTTTGGTTTTTGTACTACAAGGTTTCCCTTGGTTTCTGAGATGAGTGCAGCAATGTGTTTCCTCTCTCTCAATTCTCAGATCAGGCAGTTGAGGGCATTTTTTTGGCTCCTCAGCATGTCACTCTTGGCTCTATTACCTATCCAAAGGGATGAGACTTAAACCTGAAGTGTCCTATTTTCCTGTTACACTATTTCCTCCATGTTGCAAATGGTATTTTGTATGACTGATCACTTTAGATAAAAAATTGTTCCCAGATATGTCTTTAACCAAAATCAGGATGTATAGAATCAGAGGGCAGCTTTGAAAGAAATGTCAAGAGTGAGGGGAAAGGGCCTCCTCTAGGCCAATGCAGTGTGTGAACACATTAATATCTGTAAGGATATCAACCCCACCTCTCCTTCTGATTTTGAGGGAGAAGAATACAGCAACACTTAATATTACAAGTAAGAAGTCACCTCCCAGGACTTCCAAGAGCCAAGATGGTGGAGCAAGCAGGAAATTGCCTTAACTTTCCCATATTCACCTCCAAACAACTGTAAAATAGTGCCCCAAAACAAATTCTGGAAAGGCAGAACCATCAAAAAGCTGGGGTAAAACAATCTTTTAGCCCAAGAAACTAGGAAGGTTGGCAGGAAATCTCTGTCTCACTCAGGTAGAAGGGGAGAGCAGTTCAGGACAGGAAGTGTCCTGGCAAGGCAGGAGCAGGCCCTGCTTCAGAAGCCAGCAGGGGTCCTGAGCCCCAGGACAGCACAAGCAGGCAGACACCAGTGCCAGGACCCCCCACATTATTCTACATAGCCATGCAAATGGACAGATGCCAACACTGTGATCCTCCAACGTGCCTCAGCGCACAGGCAAATGCCAGTGCAAGAAAGCCCCATGTGCCTCGGCATGGCACCAGGTAAGCCGCCAGACCCCTACTCTAGCCCCTCTCCCTAACTCACCCTCTGAGTGCAGCACCAGACACAAAGGTCCCCTATGGGCCTCAGGGCAACACGAGTGCAGCCCCAAGCAAACAGCAAGGTCCTGGAGCCCCTGGCACAAGCAGCTTGAGACAATACCCCTTCCATTCCAGGAGCAAGAGCTCAAATTTAAGAGTAAGGGAAAAGGCTGGAAAAGATGAGAAAATGCAACAACAAAAAAAGAATCTGGCTATGGAACATTATTATGGTTATAGTAAAAATCAAGACATAAACTCAGAAGAGGACAATGATGTCAAAACATCTATGGCAAAGCCCCAAAGGAAAATGGGAATTGGTCTCAAGCTCAGATAGAACTCATGGAAGAAGTTCAAAAAGGAATTTTAAAAATCAAGATAGGTAGAAGAAAAATTGGGGGAAGAAATGAGAGTGATGCAAGAGAATTGTGAAAAAAGAGTCAACAGCTTGGAAAAAACTCCTTAAAAACTAGAACTGGCCAAATGGAAAAGGAGGTACAAAATCTAACTCTGAGGAAAAGAATTCCTTAAAAATCAGAATTGGGCAAGTGAAAGCTAGTGATTCTAGGACACATCAAAAATCAACCAAACAAAATCAAAAGAATGAAAAACAGAAGAAAATATAAAATACCTCATTGGAAAAACAACTGACCTAGAAAACAGATCCAAGAGAGATAATTTTAGAATCGCTGGACTACCTGAAAGCCATAAGCAAAAGGACTGACACAAGATACTTCAAGAAATTACCAAATAAAATTGCCCTGATATCCTAGAACCAGAGGGCAAAAAGGACATCGAAAGAATATACTGTTCACCTCCGGAAAGGGATCCCAAAATGAAAACTCCAAGGAACATTATAACCAAATTCCAGAATGACTAGGTCAAGGAGAAAATATTGCAATCAGCCAGAAAGAAACTATTCAAATATTAGGGAGCCACAAACGAGATTGCACAGAACTTAGCAACTACAATATTAAAGGATCAATTTTGATTTTGAATTCTCTGTTCTTTATTTGCATTTTAATGTTAGTAATGCATTTTTACAACCTGACACTAGAAATGAATTCATTATAATGTTGACCAATTTTAAGAACTACTATATATTGAATTTTCTTTTCATTCTAGTTTTGGACCTGATTGAATTTGGGAGGAAAAAACGTTTTACAGCAAGTTTCTCCTGCTTTCTTTCTAATCTTGGTTGCATTGGTTTTGTTTGTGCAAAAATGCTTTTTTAATTTAATGGAATCAAAATTATGTATTTTACTTCCTGTGATTCTCTCTATGTTTGATCATAAATATAGGGGAAACCTTTATCCATAGATCTGACAGGTAATTTTATTCATGCTCCTCTAATTTGCTTATGATACCACCCCTTGATGTCTAAATCATGGACCCATTTTGATCTTATCTTGGCATGAGATGTTTATTTATGCCTAGTTCCTGCCAGATTACTTTCCAGTTTTCCCAATAGTTTTTGTCAAACAGTAAGCTTTTGCCCCCCAAGCTGGTATCTTTGGGTTATCAAATAAGAGACTGTTGCAGTCATATACTTGTACATATCGTGTACCTAATCTATTCCACTATCAACCACTCTTTTCTCTTATCCAGTACTAAATAGTTTTGATGATTATTGCTTTGCAGTGTACTTTGAGATTTGGTACTGCTTGGCCCCCCTTCCTTCACTTTTTTTTTCATTGATTTCCTTTATAGTCTTGACCTTTTGCTCTTCTAGATTAATTCTCTTATTTTTTTCTAACTCTATAAAATAATTATTTGGTAATTGATTGGCATAGAACTGAATAAGTAAATTAATTTATGGAGGATTGTAAATTTTCATACATTGGCTCAGTCTACTCACGAGCAATTGGTATTTCTCCAATTGTTGCGATCTGTCTTTATTTGTGTGAAATGTTTTGTAATTGTGTTTAATATGATTCCTGATAGACTCCCAAGTATTTTGTACTGTCAGCAGTTATTTTAGATAGAATTTCTCTGTCTCTTCCTAGGTGCTTATTTCCTTCCCTTTCCCTTCTCTGATGATGTTGACTCTCTCTATAGATTGTGGCATTGAGGAGATGGTCCAAACTTAAGCTTTTCTGTATCCATGGAAGAATGATCACTTACCTCATAGAAAAGGCCATAAGGGTAAGTTTAGTACCCCTCCTATATGGAGTCATACAAACCCCTGAGTCATACAAAGATACCTCATCTGAATATGAGAGGAGGGATAGGTCCGTTGAATGAAGCAGAAAAGAAAAGGTATCACCTCAAGGTAGATATGGGGAAATTTTATACATACACACACACACAAACACACTCACACACATATGTATGTTTGTATATCTATCTGTATACATATATAATTTCATATATATCAAATTGTGTATACATAGATAGATAGACATTTCATATTTAGGAAATTGTGTGTATACAGATAGATATACTTACACACATATATAATAATAAAGAATCACAATTAGCCCAAATTAGGAAACTTTTCAAGAAAGGCCTCATACTTTTCCAGGAAACAACTAGGGAAAACTTAAATTATATGGATTTCAATAGTATTATAGAGTTGAAAGACTTCTGACATAGAAGAGGGACAG